TTCAAACCGAAACTTGGAACATTGACTGGTCAGGACCATGTAAGCCGTGCAGTGTAAGTTACCATGGTGATCTGTCCAGGCTAAAAAAGCGCCAACTTCATGACTTTGGGAAACTCTGAAGTTCAGACCAAAGATTCACGACAAGACGAATCATGTCAGAGAAAAGTGTCAGCGGTGTGAACTGGCCGGTCTGAGCTGGACTCAAGCCGGCTGATGGTGTCACCTGACACTCAGCTGGTCAAATGGCCGGCGGCTGGTTTTAAAGCACGTCACCTGTTTCAACAGCCAATCAGCTTGTAGTGAAGTCAGCTGGTCAAGTCACAATGACCACAGACGGCGTGTTGGCTTGCTGAAGCAGGTGCTCCGTCCCCACCGAGCCCTCTGTTTCTGTCCTCACGAGTTGTTGACTGGAGATGATACGCCGTCTCATGGTGGTCACTTCCTGTCAACGTTACAGATCAGAAGCACAGAGAGTTGTTGACTAGAGATGATACGCCGTCTCATGGTGGTCACTTCCTGTCAACCTACCTGCACAATAGAGCGTTGACGGTCATCGTTTGTTTCAACTCATCTTGTTGTGAATCTCTGGTCTGAACTGGACTTCAGGCTCAACATACCTCGCTGACCCCCAGAAAACCAGCACAAACATAACTGACAGATATGAACTCCTGATTCACATATGTTCATATTAAACCTGTAGAACCTGTCAAAGGGCCTTCATGTGAACATAAATAAAAGGGAGAGTGGTGATGAGTCATGCAGCCTTTTTTAGATTCCTTCAAAGGGAGGAACATGGGACCAACACCTACACACACACACACACACACACACACACACACACACACACACACAGACACCTGCCCTGCGTTCCAATACCCATACTACCATACTATTTAGTATGCCAGAAAAAGAATTAGTGTGTCCCAATACATAGTATGTCAGATGCAGTATGCCAAAAGTACCAGGATGTTCTACTACATCATCATCATATTTCGTCACATTTCGCAGTATGCATGTCAGCATGCTTCTTTGGCCATTCTGACCCACAATCCTTTGTGCAGCGGAAGTTACGTCACACTGACTGAGCTGCGTGTACAACCAACGCCCACACTTCCTTTCATACATGGTTTATTTAATTTGAGATACTAAGACACTACATATTAGGACTGCAATGATCTGATTATATACTGTCACATATCATACAGTTTTGCAAGAACACAGTTACAACATTCAACTTTATTGTGATTATAGTATAATCAGTGTTAGGGTTCAACTATGACTACAATATAGAAGATTCTACCAGTATAGGCAGTGGGGTAAGTGTGGTATAAATAATGAATGCATATGACTAAATATGAATACACTATGGGCCAGGTATGAGCAGTATAGACTAGTAAATATATAAATACTAAAAGTCAAATACATATTAAGTAATGTAGTAAGAATGTGCAAGTATGTTACACTACAAATAAAAGTAATGTGAATGTAAGGCTGCTTCACGTGCAGACAGAATATAGTGCCAGCAGCTGCATAGCTGTGAATATATTTAACAACAAATATCTGCCAGCAACAGAGAGCTGTGTGTGAAGGGGGTTAAT